GAGCGAAGAAAAAAAGAAGAAGCGAAACTGAAACAGATTCTCTCAACAGTCACCGGGAAAAATGTCACGGCACGAGAACGACCGTCCACTTCTGATCGAGAGATTAGACGAGGAGGAGGAAGAGAGAGCGTACGACGAGACCGAGAAAGTTCACATCGTGAGAGACGAGGACGACGACAACGAGAGGGATCTCGAATACAGCGTCGGATGCGGCGGCGCGCCGCCGTTCTCGTGGAGGAAGTTATGGCTATTCACCGGACCTGGATTTCTGATGAGCATTGCGTTTCTCGATCCAGGGAACCTCGAAGGAGATCTCCAAGCCGGCGCCGTCGCCGGATACTCGCTTCTGTGGTTGCTTATGTGGGCGACGGCGATGGGGCTTTTGGTTCAGCTTTTATCGGCGAGGCTCGGTGTCGCGACGGGTCGTCACTTGGCGGAGCTTTGCCGTGAGGAGTATCCGACTTGGGCGGGTATGGTTTTGTGGGTTATGGCGGAATTGGCGTTGATTGGATCTGATATTCAGGAAGTCATTGGAAGTGCGATTGCTATCAAGATTTTGACCAATGGGATTTTGCCTCTCTGGGCTGGTGTCGTTATCACTGCTCTCGATTGGTATTAACACAAAAACCTCAATCTCTTAATTCCCAATGTTAGCCTAATCTAATCAAAGTTTTGAAGCTTTAGCTATTATGCTTATTGTGTTAGTCTCCTTGCTTCATTTATTCACTGTAGATTGTTTAAATTTCGAGTATTAAATGTTCTTCTTGAGCTGTTAATTGACTATTAGCTGTGTTGGATTCTTGATTTGACATGAGTTTTTTGTCGTTATGTGTCTCCTTGTGTCATTGAGTGATTGATATGTGTGTGTGTTTTTCGCTACAGTTTCGTCTTCTTGTTTCTTGAGAACTACGGAATTAGGAAGCTCGAGGCAGTGTTTGCGGTTTTAATCGGAACAATGGCAATCGCATTCGCTTGGATGTTTGGTCAAGCCAAGCCAAGTGGCTCTGAGCTTCTTATTGGTTAGGCTTTCTTTGTTCTCTCTCTTTTTTTAAACCAGTTCTTACTTAACAAGTTCTAAAGAAGTCTGCTTTGCATGTTCTTGCAGGCATATTGGTACCGAGACTGAGCTCAAGAACAATACAAAAAGCAGTTGGAGTTGTGGGTTGCATTATAATGCCACACAATGTGTTTCTTCACTCGGCTCTTGTTCAATCGAGAGAAGTCGATAAACGACAGAGATACCGAGTCCAAGAAGCTATAAACTACTACACAATCGAATCAACCATCGCTCTTTTTCTCTCCTTCATGATCAACCTCTTTGTCACAACGGTTTTCGCTAAAGGGTTTTACAACACTGACCTCGCCGATAGCATTGGCTTGGTTAACGCGGGACAGTATCTTCAGGACAAATATGGAGGCGGGTTGTTCCCAATACTGTACATTTGGGGAATCGGGTTATTGGCTGCTGGTCAAAGCAGCACCATCACAGGTACCTACGCAGGACAGTTCATCATGGGAGGGTTTCTTAATTTCAAAATGAAGAAATGGATGAGAGCTTTGATCACACGTAGCTGCGCAATCATCCCTACTATCATCGTTGCTCTAGTGTTTGATTCATCGGAAGCTACACTCGATGTGTTAAACGAGTGGCTTAACGTGCTTCAGTCCATTCAAATCCCCTTTGCGCTCATTCCATTACTGTGTTTGGTTTCCAAGGAACAAATCATGGGTAGTTTCAAAATCGGTCCTTTGTATCAGGTTTGTGATCTATCTTATATGCTTTTGTTTTAAATACATTCATAAAGAAACCTTCTTCTTGAGCTCTGACATTTTGTGCAGACTATCGCGTGGCTTGTTGCTGCGCTTGTGATAATGATCAACGGTTATCTTTTGCTTGAGTTCTTCTCCTCGGAGGTTAGTGGCATCGTCTATACTGGTTTCGTGACTGCGTTTACGGCTTCGTATGGTGCATTCATAGTCTATCTCATCGCTCGTGGCATCAATTTCACTCCGTGGCGCTCTAAAGCAGAGTCTAGTCGATGAGAATGGACCAAACCAGAACAATGTAGCTCTATGTGTTTTGATCATTAGGAAAAGGGAGAAAATGAGTTATTAGCCTGTGTTTTGTATGTTGAACAACCAAAAAAATAGCTTATCTTTTTGTATCTTATGTATCATAAAGTGGCTCTTGTTTTTGTTTTGGTGTAACTGAAAACTAGTCATAGGATGATGATGATCGTTCTATGTATTAGTAGATAGATCCAAATTAATAGCATCATTTCACCATCTACTGTTGTTGTTGTGGATTTTAACTTAATAATCTCATAATAATATCCAGATTGAGAAAATTCATTTGTTTCAACAGAGGAACCCATTTTAGTGTTATTAAATGCATTACACATGAGAACTTAATTTGGGAATGAAAGTTGGTCATAGTAGTGTTGAAGAATAGGGGCCTAGAAGAATTAGATTAGTACTACAGTATAATGGAACAGTACAAACTACAATAATTGAAAATGAAACAGAACATAGTGATATGATCATCAGACATTATTTTTCATTTCCCAAACAATGTAGAAAATGAAAATTAAATCTCTGATTTAATCATAATAATTCGTTTTTGTGGTTTTGAAAATAAAAAAATTCAATGAAAAATTGATTTTATTTTGTCCGGTCTGTTCCCTCTCGTCCCATATAATCATATTCGGACCAACTTACAAAATCGCATAATAACCATAATCATTTTTTAAGGGGAATCTAGAAAATACGACTTTGACAATATTATCTTGCAAAAATGCCATTACACGTTAGATTTTTTCAACATACAAATGTTTCATACCAAAAAATCAACTTTTCAAAAATCTTGTTAATTTGCAGTTGCCAATAATTTTTTTGGGGGTCAAATTATTGCACTGTTACAAATCATAAGCAAAGTCTTATTGTGAAAAAAAAAAGGTGAAAGTGAAAGGAGGAGCTGACAAGAAATTTACGAGAAGGCTTAAAAAACATTACAACGGCTTTGCCAGCAAATTTTCAATCTGACCAATTGGAAAAGCGATAGAGAACTCTTGGAATCCTTTTTTTTATGTTCTTTCGAGAAAAAAAAAATAATAATAATAATACAGAGAGAAGAAGAAGAAGAAAAATTGCTTTTACGTGCTCAACTATAATCGGCGAGACGGAGGAAGATCGATCGAGAGAGATAGAAAGGTTGATTTCTCCTCACCGGAATCATCTTCTTCTTCTTGACGTGCATGTATGTTCTTCTCTCTCTGTCTTAGTTTCGATCTATCTACTTAGGGTTTTTAAATTTTCCCCCTTTTTCCTGTTCCTTAAGCTCTCCGTCAAAACTCTTTCTCACATTTCGAGAGACCCTTTGATCAATTTCTAACCTTGTCTCTAGATTTCCTGTTAATTTTGAATTTTTGTTTTCAGTTATATTTTTGTTTGAATTTGAATTGGGGAGATTTATTAGGTTTTGGAATGGCGTTTTCCTCGGAATTTATGAGTTGAAGGATTCCATAAGTTGTTGATTATCCATTTCGTATCCAATGTCTTAGCAAGTTAATTTCATTCCAAATTCGTTTTTGCCCTTTTGATCTAAAGCTTCAATCTTTGTTGTTGTTTGTTTTTTTCCAGGGTGGAAATGGAAATCTCTGTGTTGAAAATGCTTGTCGATGGCATCTCGTCGTTTCTAAATCTGTCATCTTCAAGGCATATCGATTTAGACCCATTTGAGAAGTACTATAAAAGGGTTGAAGAGTTATTGAGAGTGTTGAAGCCTGTGGCAGATGCTGTTATCAGCTCCGATCTTGTTTTGGAGGAGAAACTTGGTAAAGCATTTGAAGAATTGGCTCAAGATGTTGATCAATCGAGAGATCTTTTCAGAAGTTGGCACGCATTCTCCAGCAAAGTCTATTTTGTAAGTTCCTAAACTTCTCATCTCGGTTTTTTTTGAAGCTATATGGAGTTTAAACAAGCCTGGATTAGCTTGGTCATTGATTATTCAGGAGTTTCAATATTTGCTTATGATATTGGTACTCTTATCTATACAAGACATTACATACACTACGATACTTTCCGCTGACTTGACTATTCAATTTCTCACCCTAGCTAAGTTGTCTTTCGGTTTTAGCTTGACGGTTCTAAGATAAAGCTAATGACCATCGTGTTATTCTAAACCTCTTCTTGAGCTTTGGTTACTGATAATATTGTTCTCTTACTATCACGTCTAGGTCCTCCAAATTGAATCTTTGATACCAAAGATGCGAGACACTATTGTAGATACTTTCCAGTTTCTGAAGTCCTCTAAGAACGACCTACCTCTTGAACTGAGTCCAGCTTCCCTCGAGGTACCTTCCCCTTACATTTAGATATCTTGTATCAATTTCCATGGTTGATATCCGGTGTACATCCTAATGCTGCCGACTACTTTATGCTTTGTCGTGTTGTATACATTAGCAATTGACTCAAATTGCATGATATGCGAATGGTTAATTTACATATATATGTAATTGCAGAAATGTCTAGAGAAGGTTAAGCATCTTAGTTATGAAGAGATATCTTCAGTCATTGATGGTGCTCTGAGGGATCAGAGAGATGGTGTTGGACCTAGCCAAGAGATCTTGGTGAAAATTGGAGAGAACACTGGGCTGAGATCAAACCAGGAGATTCTGATTGAAGCTGTTGCTCTGGAGAGGCAGAAAGAGATCGCCGAGCAGTCTGAGAATAATTCAGAAGTCGAGTTCCTTGACCAACTGATTGTTATCGTAAACCGCATGCACGAACGTCTTCTTCTGATCAGACAGACTCAGACCTCTAGTGTCGCCATTCTCGCCGACTTCTTTTGCCCTCTTTCCCTTGAAGTAATGACTGATCCAGTGATTGTGTCATCAGGACAAACATATGAAAAGGCGTTCATCAAGAGATGGATTGATTTAGGTTTAAAAGTTTGTCCCAAGACTCGACAGACTCTGACTCACACGACTCTAATACCCAATTACACCGTCAAGGCCTTAATCGCTAACTGGTGTGAGACAAACGATGTCAAGCTACCTGATCCCAATAAATCAACGAGCTTAAACGAGTTATCTCCTCTTTTGTCATGTACAGACTCCATTCCTAGCACGGCTGCTGGTGTTTCTACTCATAGAGTTAGCAACAAGTCAAATGATTGGGATGCTTCTACAGGTGAGACCGGGAAGCCTTCATTCTCAAGAGAAGGTGCTTCTCCTTCACGTCCCGCTTCTGGCTTGGACACTTCTTTACCAGGTGTATCTGGAAACGGGTTCGGTTTGGACGCCAGGAGGATATCGCTAAATGATTCTGAAGATAGATCTAACGATTCTCGAGAAATGAAGACAGATGTATCTGTATCTTCAACTACACAAGGCTCGGTGGAAAACGGACAAACATCTGAAAATCACCATCATAGGTCCCCTTCTGCTGCCAGCACTGTTTCCAACGAGGAGTCTCCAAGAGCAGAAGCAAACGAGAATTCAGAAGAATCAGCTCATGCTACACCTTACAGCAGCGATGCTTCAGGAGAAATTAGATCAGGGCCTCTTGCTGCAACCACTCCAGCAGCTACACGCAGGGATTTGTCTGATTTCTCCCCAAGATTTATGGATAGACGTAATAACCGTGGTCAGTTTTGGCGACGTCCATCAGAGAGGCTTGGTTCACGGATTGTCTCAGCGCCTTCGAATGAGACAAGGCGTGATCTCACTGAGGTCGAGAACCAAGTTACGAAATTGGTGGAGGAGCTGAAAAGCAGTTCATTGGATATTCAGAGACAAGCAACCGCAGAGCTAAGGCTGCTAGCTAAGCACAACATGGATAACAGGATAGTTATAGGGAACTCTGGTGCAATCGTCTTATTAGTGGAACTACTTCACTCAACCGACTCAGCTACACAGGAAAATGCTGTTACCGCACTTCTCAACTTGTCCATTAACGACAACAACAAGAAAGCAATCGCTGATGCTGGTGCAATTGAGCCGCTCATTCACGTGCTCGAAAACGGTAGCTCTGAAGCCAAGGAGAATTCAGCTGCTACACTCTTCAGCCTCTCTGTGATAGAAGAAAACAAGATTAAGATTGGTCAGTCTGGTGCAATAGGGCCTCTTGTGGATCTACTCGGTAATGGTACCCCTCGGGGTAAGAAAGACGCTGCTACTGCATTGTTTAATCTATCGATACATCAAGAAAACAAAGGGACGATCGTGCAATCAGGGGCTGTGAGGTATCTGATAGATCTAATGGATCCAGCAGCTGGGATGGTTGATAAAGCGGTTGCTGTTTTGGCAAATCTGGCTACAATCCCTGAAGGGAGAAACGCGATTGGTCAAGAAGGAGGGATCGCTCTTCTTGTTGAAGTCGTTGAGTTGGGTTCAGCTAGAGGGAAAGAAAACGCTGCAGCAGCTCTTCTTCAGCTTTCTACCAACAGTGGTCGATTCTGCAACATGGTTCTTCAAGAAGGAGCTGTTCCTCCTCTCGTCGCTCTCTCACAGTCTGGTACTCCCAGAGCCAGAGAAAAGGTACAAACTTTAATAAATATTTCATCTTCTGCTTTATGCTTTTTGGTTAAAGAATCGACTCTACTTCAATTGTTTTGAAGAGTTTGATGTTGTTCTAACGTTTTGGGAGGATCTTGTAACTTATTCAGGCACAGGCGTTGCTTAGTTACTTCAGGAACCAAAGGCATGGAAACGCCGGGCGTGGCTGATGGATGATGATGATGATGAGGATGATGATAATGATGCATAGGTTCCTCGGTGCCTATATTGTGTTTGTCTTCTTACCAAAAGTAGTGATTTTGTACAAAAAGGAGGTTTCTTCTGCAAATAATTCAATACCCAAGATTTTGTTGATTCTCTGCATTCTTTGATTTTCGATTTGATATTCCCAGGAGTAAACTTTGATATTCGAATAGAAATATTTTTGTTTTTATCTGATTTGTAATGTAAGTCTTTTGAAGGAAACATTAATGTAGTTCTGAATGTGAATTTGAGTGAGAATATTTAACCATTGTTGGACTACGCAGCAAAGCTGATTCTGTGTAAGAGTTCATGTACATTTTGAACCTTTATTTTTTGTGTGGCTTTACATTAAAAGAGACAGGAACGAGAACCGGAGCGATTTCCATCAGTTTCTTGACGAGCGACAAAGCCTTCGCGTCGGATCCGGGTCGGGTTCCCCATGAATCGACCCAGAACCTGTTTCTGACGACGATCTTCGAGATATGGAGAAGAGGGAGGAGATTATTCCGGGTCGACCCGGATCTCCAATTGGGGAAATGGGTAACTACCGGAAGATCCGTTTGAAAAATCGAATTTGTTACAAAAAAAAGTGGAAAAATCCCACATCGACAAAAAAGAGTAAATGTGAAGTTCAACATGTTTTATAAATAAAGCTACACTCCACTCTTAATTTCGGAGATTGGGCTTAAATCATTAGGTTTCGAAGGCCTGCTAATAATTAATTGCGAATTGGGCTGATTAATCATTGACCAAGCCGATTATTTGACGCTTCGATTACATTTTCTGAGTACAATGTAATTGCGGCGGCACTGGTCCCGAGCGCTTAATAATGTATTTTACGAAACAGAGAAGTGTTGACATCACCGGTAATTGTGGCGGCTCTGATGACTCCGATGACTCTCAGCTGGAAGCGCCATTTCAGTCAACACTCCTCCCATCAGCTTGCACTGTCAATTTCATCCTCTTCTTCGACGAAACAATCTCGGATCCTGGAGCTTTGTAAATCAGGTCAACTCATGGACGCCATTCAGATTCTAAACTCAACGGAATCGTGTGAAATTGCTGCGAAACCGAATCTCTACGCATCTCTCCTTCAAACATGCACAAAAGTACGTTCTTTTATTCACGGCCTTCAATTTCACGGCCATGTCGTCAAATCAGGACTGGAAACGGACCGGTATGTTGGGAACAGCTTGCTCTCCCTGTACTTCAAGTTGGGACCTGATATGAGGGAGACCCGGAGAGTTTTCGACGGAATGTTCATCAAAGACGCGATCTCGTGGACTTCGATGATGTCTGGATACATTGGGAGTAAAGAACACGTTAAGGCACTTGAGATGTTCATGGAGATGGTGACTTTTGGTTTGGAGCCGAACGCGTACACGTTGTCTTCGGCAATTAAGGCTTGCTCTGAGCTCGGAGAAGTTACACTAGGGAGGTGCTTCCATGGTGTTGTCATTACTCGTGGGTTTGAGTGGAATCATTTCATCTCTAGCACATTGGCGTATATGTACGGTGTGAATCGAGAACCAGTAGATGCGCGTCGAGTGTTCGATGAAATGTCTGAACCAGATATGTTTTGTTGGACAGCTGTACTCTCTGCGTTTTCCATGAATGACTTATACGAGGAAGCTTTGTGGCTATTTTACGCGATGCATAGGGGAAAAGGGTTGGTGCCTGATGGCTCTACATTTGGAACGGTTTTGACGGCTTGTGGTAATCTAAGGAGGCTGAAGCAAGGGAAAGAGATTCATGGGAAGCTTATCACAAGTGGGATAGGCAGCAATGTGGTTGTTGGGAGTAGTCTTCTAGATATGTATGGTAAATGTGGATCAGTATGGGAAGCTAGGCAAGTGTTTAATAGGATGTCTAAGAAAAACATTGTATCTTGGTCTGCCTTACTCGGGGGATACTGTCAGAATGGAGAGCACGACAAAGTGTGTGAGATTTTCAGGAAAATGGAAGAGAAAGATCTCTACTGTTTTGGGACTGTTCTTAAGGCATGTGCTGGTTTGGCCGCGGTAAGACTTGGGAAAGAGGTTCATGGCCAGTACATTAGAAGAGGCTGTCGTGATAATGTGATTGTGGAATCAGCTTTAGTTGACGTCTATGGAAAATCGGGGTGCATAGATTCTGCTACTCGTGTGTACTCTAGGATGTCAGTGAGGAACATGATAACGTGGAATGCGATGCTATCTGCGCTGGCTCAGAATGGAAGAGGTGAAGAAGCTATCACTTTCTTCAATGATATGGTTCAAAAGGGGATGAAGCCTGACTACATCAGTTTTATTGCAGTCCTCACTGCATGTAGTCATACGGGTTTGGTTGACGAAGGACGAAATTACTTTGAATTGATGGTTGAGTGTTATGGAATTAAACCAGGTACTGAGCATTACAGTTGCATGATTGACCTTCTAGGCCGTGCAGGTTTGTTTGAAGAAGCAGAGAATTTGTTGGAGAGAGCAGAGTGTAGAGATGATGCGTCTTTGTGGGGAGTTCTTCTTGGACCATGTGCTGCGAGTGCAGATGCCTCTGCTATTGCAGAGCGGGTTGCAAAGAGAATGATGGAGTTGGAACCAAAGTACCACATGAGTTATGTGCTTCTAAGTAACATGTACAAGTCGTTAGGTCGCCATGGTGATGCACTCAAGATCCGTAGGTTAATGGTGCGAAGAGGAGTAGCAAAGACTATTGGACAGAGCTGGATAGATGCTCATTAGAAAGCTATAAAGGTTCTTATCTCTCTAGGAATCTTGCTTTAGCATTCATGAAAAGAAAATGCAACTTTAAACCACACAATTTTGCCTTTACTCGATTTAGCCTTTACAAAGTAATTTAAACAACACATTTTTCCAGCCTAGACTTTGCAGAGAAAAAGGATTTTTTGTAAAATGTTGTGTGGAGAATTCAAGAGTTGACCTCAAGCCACCATTAATACATTTTCCAGTGATGAGCATTGTCTTCATAGTGCACGCATCAAGGTCGATTTTGTAGCTTCGCGCTTCATCTCTGCATCTTTGCCACTCCATCGGAAGTATGCATATACTTGCTGAAAATTGAGTAATGCATTTCATGGGTTAGAAAAACAGACAGATTGAAGTGATTTACAGTGTTGATAATTATAGAGTAAAAAAAGTTCATAAACCTGAATAACCCAGATATTGAGAAGTGTTTCAATGCAGAAGAACCCCATACCAATGAAATACATTATCAGTGAGTGTAAGGAAAAGAAGGAATTTTGGTAAGACTGTCACAAGCCGAAGTTAAGTATTTGTGTATGGGTAGTTAAGGTACTAACCCCGATACATGGAATAAGATGGAGTTCATCAAAGATTCAAAAGGTTTCATCAACAGAGGAATCATTAAATAAGGTAAAAGAAAAAGGTTGAGTCAGATGCTTTCACATAGAAGAAAACTCTTACGTGAGAGACTTTTCCTGGAAAGATGACTGGTGGAGCAATTGCAGCAGAGCTGCAGAAGGCAATGTGAAACTGAAAAGTGCAAGACAGTGTAAAACATCAAAATGCTTAGTGGTTTTATTTTTTCATTGCTTCCTGAAGAAACTTTGATGCAGTGGAAATAACATTGTCAGAAAAACATATGTTTTCTCAAAAATCCACGCATTGACTTAAATAATGCAATGAAGCAAAAAAAAATCATCCATTAACTTTTCTATTTTAACTAATGTGGCAATAGATGTAATGCATACCATGGAAAAAGACAATATTTGGTAAATTCTTTACGTTTCAAGTTTTTCTAAGTGATAGTTTTTTTTTGGGGAATGTTTCTGTGAAAAACAATTAAGATCCATTGATGTTAAAACTTCATACACTGACTCAACATAAGTTTTCAAATTTTTCTTGTTTTTCTATTTTTTTTTGTTTTTTTAAGCTTTACTTTTGACTTCTTATATTTATTTTACAGTTAAAAACAAGCAAAAATCCTTCTATACCACCTTTTTCGACTAAGCTTTACACATTTTATCTACTACTTTTATTATTCTCTTCTCCTTCTTATGAATATCATTTTTGCAGGTCGAATGCCTTTATAAGATGGAAATAGATTGTCAACAAACTAAAGTTTAAGGAGTTCGAGTTCCTTTGGAAGAAAACAATGACATTCAAATGGGAAGGAAACGACATTCATATGTTTGCCAAATTTTAGAAAAAAAACTGAAAAGCCTTACTACATGATGGTAGTGTAATGTGGGTGGAGATGCAAGAATCTTATCTTCTAATATATGAAACATAAAGGAGATCCTCAAGGGATTGACAACTCCACATTTGAAAGCCAATAAGAAATTAATATTTATTTCTCTAATTAATACATATACAAATTTTTTTTTTGAATATAAATGAATCAACCATTAATCTGATTAATATGTAAAAATATTAAATCATAAAATAAGAAAAATTAAACTCAATTTAATTTAAATATCCTAGATATATAAATTAAAAAAACTAATATAAGATTTTAGTTTAGTCTTTTTTTTCTCTGTGTGTTATACTCATCATTTTTGAAATAACAAAGATAATTTATTAAAGTAATTAAAAAAATAAAAACAAAAAATAAAATTAAAAATTTCCAAATACTGAAGAATAAGTTTTTTTTTTAAAAAAAAATAAGAGCTAGAAAATCATCACACACAAAAGAAAATTCATTACATAATCGAAAATATAACAAATTATCAACATTAAAGAGAAAAAATGATAAAAAAGAATATAATAACAAACAAATATAAAATTTATAGAGGTATGGGGAATATAAATAGAACTAATTGAAAAAGTGAAAACAAAACATAAAAATAGTAAATTGCAAAAAGTAAAAATGATCACTAAATGAAGGTTTCAATTGAAAAAGGTTAAAAACAAAACAATGGACTAAAAAGATTATCAGCTAGGGTTATCAAGGAAAAAAAAATCTATAAAATAAATCACAAGAGAAATCAAAAGTTGAACTAAAAGATTAAAAATATAACTTAAAATCTGTCCAAACTATTAATTCATATATAAATTGTTTAATTTAAATTCAATTGTGTTACAAATATTAAATCATAAGCATAACTTAAATCTAATTTAAATCTAATTTAAAACATCATAAGCATAAATTAAATCAAATTGAAATTTATCTTAAAACATCATAAACATATGAATAAAAAATAGTTTAATCTCAATGAAAAGGAAGAAAACAAGAATATGAAACAAAATTAAAAATAATAGGCTAAATAAATTTTAAATATCTAAAAAAATAAGAAGAAAACTAAATGATCAAAACTAACGTTCAATAAACAATTGAAAAGATAACAAATTATAAAAATATAGAAAATGACAAAGAAAAAAGAAAAATAATACAACAACAGATACATATACAAAATATTAAAGACATAAGTAAAAAGATGGAATTAGTGATAAATATATATATATATATATACATATATATGTGTGTGTGTGAAAAAAACCTAAAATTTGTGATTTGAAAAAGTCAACAAAATTAACACTAAATCATGATTTAGATGAAAAAACTTGAAAAAACAATGGATGTATGATATTATTAAGATTATCAAAAAATTATGAAATAATATAAAAATTAAAAGTTGATAGTCTATAATCTCGCGGTGTAGCACAGATTCTCTTCTAGTATATATAAAAGTTGTTTAACTCTCTCCAGCTGAGTGACACATTAGTAGTGGAGAGAGTGACACCTGTCTATTTAAAATATTAATAAAATATAATCAAATTTAAAACAAACACATTAAAGAACATAACTAAATATTAATAAATATTTTTATTAGAATAAAATTCAAATTTAATTTAAATATATAAAAACTTATAAATATTATATAAAACAAAATTTTTAAATGCACCATTATGAATATTTTCTCTAAGTGATTTAAACTTCATTTTCAAAGTAAAAAATATAATTAAATTTTAATGCAAGTGAAAAAAAATTATGAGACTGAATATGTTAAAAATGCAAAATAAATTTATATAAAACTCTAACTACTAAAATTATAAAACACAAAGAATATTTACTAAATGATTAAAGAGATAAAAAATATCAAAAAATAATAATAAAAAGAAGGGTGTCCACATAAAAATGTCATACATGATTTTTTTTTTAAAGATGGAATCAATAATATATATAATAAAAATTTCAAAATGGCAAACTGAGAAAGTTAAAAAATATTATATTAGTAAAATTTACAAGAATAAAAAGAATATAAAGATTAAAGAACAAATAAATATTCTTCTCTGATATTCCACATATATTTTTAAGTGAATTATTACGTTTTCATATAAAAATTAAAATAGTAGATTTTTAGTTCTTTATTATGTTGGAAGAAAAATTAAACTATTTGGTACAACTGGTGTAGAATAGATTACAAATAATGTATCATCAAAAAGAAATAAAAAAAATATAAGTATTTTAAACACAAAAACATTGATAGTAAACATAAAATTCAATACAAATTCTAAAAATATATTATTTAAAATATAAAATTAAAACAAGATCCGCGCATATGTGCAGATTCTATCCTAGTACTAATAAAAGTTGAAGTAAAATGTTTCTGAGGTGTCTACATAGAATTTAAAAAGGAAATTTTATTGGTACACATTAATATTCAAAATCAAAAAAGTTTACAAATTCTAATATTATTGATGAATAAGGAAATTAAAAAAGTTTACAAATTTTAATATTGATTGCTGAATAAAGAAATTCGGTATAAATGTGTTATTGGTCCATCTCAACATTGAAATTTAAAAAGTTTTCAAATTCTATTATTGTTTTTAAAAATTATTTAAAAATATATATAATTTGTATTAATAATTTAAAACTAAAATAAAAAATATTAAAATACGAAATTTTTAACTTTAAATTAGACGTATATACACATATTTAGCGACTCTTACATTAACATCCAACAAGAAAAAGGTATTAAATCCTTTCGCTACCTTAAGGCTAATGATATCTTTCTAGATATTCGTGATCCGAAAGTCCTATCACCTTTACATTTCTCGTCATTATTTCGACCATCTCTTTGTTTTCTCTCTACGTCGGTTTCTAAACCGTGGATCAATCTCATCCCAAAACTCTTACTTTTCTACTTTTTCACCTCAAAAAGTTCATCACCACAAAAATGAGTAGTTTCTACATTTTGATCTGCTCAAAGTTTAATCTCTAGAGCTACTCTGCAAGAGCACAAATGTGTAGTTGTAGTATGTAGGGGTCGAACCACAGAGACGAGAGATTCACTCAATAGACCTAATAGACTCGAATTACGCTAAGCATAAATAATAGAATTGAAAACAGCAGGACAATGAAAACAGTTGTAAATCGATTGGGAAAGGATTAGGTCCAGGGTGTTTCTCAGGAGATCAGAGAATGCAGATAAATTAATTAGTTAGGGTTCAGGTTAAACGCAGTTCTTGAACTCAAATCACAAAATTATAATTAACCAACTTTCGTTGCGAGAATTATCTAAGTCTAAATCCTAGAATCCCAAATTTTTTTGCAAATCCTAAAGATATAAACTAGCCTTAAGTGCAGGTTTGATATGTTCACATAGTATCTAAACCAAATTTCTTTGCGGATAGCTACTTTTCTCACCCTAGGTTCTTTCAGATTATTCAATTACACTTTTGTGTCAGTCAATTAACCTAAGATATAAGTTCTAGGTGATCAGTCCAGAATTAGCTTTAAGAACAACTTATGGTGAAGAACTAATCAGATTATGAATCCTAACTAGCAAATTAATACAACATTCAATGAAATCCTTTATGAGAACCCTAAACCTAACAAGCTAACTACTCAGACATGAAGATTGAAACAATAAACATGCTTAAATAGATTGCAGAAAAGAATAATAAGATTAAGAAAAAGGGGTTCAAATACTTCTCTCTCGCGAACAGAGTTCAGACTTATCTCCCCAAAAGCTCTCAAAAGTATAGATGAATCAAAGACAAAAGTTCTCTCTCTGTAAAATCTAAAGTGTGTCAATCAGGGTGGCTGAAAACCCTTCTTAAAACTAAAAACACGTTTTGGGTCTTCTAGTAAGTATTAGAGACTTCTAGGCTTCACAGATTCTTCAAAAATTGGATAAAATCACATTTTTCCTTTTTTCACGACATCGGTGTTGAGCGACACCATTAGTGATGTCGCGCGACACCAGTGCAAAGCTTGAAATTTATCCTTCACGAAATTGATCTCTGTTAAGTTCCAAACTGCTCCAAAATCTCCAATTAAGCTCCAAACATACCTAAGACCTGTAAAGACTCTAAAAAGCTCGAAAAATACTAAAAATATTCTATAAATAAGACCTATATCATGGTAAAATACCATAAAAACCATGATATATCATCTTTCTTAAGAGATCTCGGCCCATCTTCCTTCTCTTTTTTTCTGATCTCTTTTTTCTTTCTGACTAGCCACTTTATGGTATTTTCTTCACTGTTTTCGAGGATTCGTCAGAAAACAACCTTCCATCGTGTTTGATGTTTTCTGAGACCTTCACGTGTTTGATAAGTTTTGCTGGAGACTTTCTCCAAGAGGACTAAAAATTTCATAAACAGCTATTATTTTGCTGATGAAACTCTAAAATGCATTTTACATTACTTTGATTAATAAGTTTTAAACTAAATGTTGTTGATTATAATCTAAAACTTGTCTCTTTTTTACAATAAAAACATTTGATGATAACTATATGCATTTTTTATATAAAAACAGATATTTCAGGCTTTTATATCGGACGAATAATCGTGCAAAGTGAGTATATTCATCAAATAACCCACTAACCAAATTTTCTAATGGAGATAAAGTATAAAACTATTTCAAGGAATATGTGCATGATCCTTGTAGTGCAAGTAAACAATAATATAAGTATCGATTTTGTGGTTATGGCGAGGATCAGATTTTATTTATTTTATTTTTATCATAAAAAAGTTCGTGGCAACATTTTTCAAGCTTATATATTTACATTTTCCTTTCCGTTATACTATTTTCATAACTTTATAATTTCTAGAAATTTGGTACAAACAAAAAGCTTAGACAACACAGTACGTCTGAAATGGTGGTAAATCAATATCATATATTTATACAAAATTTTGTTCTATATACCATATTCACTTTTTAATTTTCTTATATATTTTACTATTGACAGACTTAATTTTGGTTGATAGATTTAATTCATAATTTTGTTATTACACTACAAATTTCTTGAAAATGTGGCAGATTTTTCATG